AGAGAGAGAGAGAGAGAGAGAGATTATTGCCGTACCGACTGTGGCAACAGGGAAGTGTCGCTCGCGCAACGAGCGTCCCGAATATATATACATGTAGAGGATATTTTCGATTCGAGCCGATTGCACAACTCTCTCAGCTCTCGACAAGCACGCGCGTGCTTCTCCGCGTATAGGCGGTTATTCAACGGTGTATACGTATGCAAGTACATGCTTCGGCTGGTCTTGCTTTTGCGTCGTAATTAACGTCTCTGTCTTTTTAGCCGTCGACTTCTAAATTATCGTTCAGAGCCGGCTAGAAAATTACGACTCGTTTGGATAACCTTGAATCGAAAGGCCCACGCGATACGCGAAGGCGTGAAGTTGCCGTGTAAATACACGTATATGCAGTGAGTTTACAATTCGCCCAGGTATGGGAACTAGATCTTCAATCGGTAAGAGCGGAAACTATCGAAAGATGCGTTGGCCAACGTCGCGAAGAGATTTTTCGTTGAGCAGGCGTTCGGTTAGAGAAGGAGAAACACGCTCGAACGCGTGTTTAAATCTCGAAACAAACCGGAAAGAATTGGGCAACGCGGTGGATTTTTATCTTATTTGTTGTCTAACAATAAGTATGTCGACAGCCAGCGACAAAGTCAAAATGGTTGCTATTATTACCACCTCTCGTCCCGAGCAACCGTGTGTTTCTTACCAGCGTGGCGCGTTTCAACCTTCTTGTTCTTCTTCCTTTTATTCGTCTTTCATTCAACGCGTTGCAACTGCGCGAAAGAATTACGTAACTCGACGGAACAAGAGATTCGATTGTGAAGAGGGCGGGAACGAGCATCGAGAGTAGACGATGGATCGAAGGGCGAGAAATACCGATTTCCCGTCACGACTTAAATTCATCGAGATATTCGTTCGTCAAATGATCGCTACTCGCGTCGTTCATTTACGCAAATTCAAATTACATTCAGTGAAATGGAAATGTTCGAAGTGTATCAAAAGAAAAAAAAAGTCGATCGTACAGAAGAACCTTCTGATTTTAGTTTCATCAAGGTTGATATCGAGGGGCAACTTTGTTATTAGCGTAGAAAATGGTGCAATAAAGAGCACCAGCTCAAGGAAAATGGCATTGAAGAAGAAAGAAAAATATAAAAAAAATGAGAAGATAATAAAAGATTGGAGGAATGTATAAGGGACGGATAAAATTGGAGAAGAAACTAATATTATATTATATTAACTTATATGTTAAATGTACAAATAGTTTCCGTAAAAATAATGGAAGATACTTTTACCTTGGATATCAGTTTCTTTTTCCTATTTTACACATTATCGTTACACGTACTATAATAAATACTTTTAAGTAGAATCACCCTCTGTCTGGTTGTACTACTAGTTACTATATTATATACTATATATTTCTATATCACATGTAAACGCGTATGATCTTACACAATATAGTTAGCCATATTGTGCACATAACAAGTATATAAGTTGTACATATTTAAATCCAATATGTGTCAAATTTTGTAAGTAATTAATACATTTTACATTTTTCATACTATATGATATGTCACTTGGTAGTAATTAATACATTTTTATAAGTAATTATTATTTTTAATTAGTATTATATATTTTTAATAAGTAATTAATACATTTTACATTTTTCATACTATATGATATGTCACTTGGTAGTAACACAGTCGGATAGGAGGTGATTCTGTGTATTTTAAGTGCATGTTAAACATTTCTTACTATATTATTGCGTTAAATATGTCAAAGGTTAACCAAAATATACCAAAATAACGTTAACAAAAATTCCTCGCGGACGAAGGCGAGAACACGGTAGTTCACTTCGGGTAAACTATGCGCTATCTCGAGAGAGAGAAAGAAGTCTGGAAAGCCTCCGCAGAACCTTGCTTCTGAAAGAGAGAGAGAGAGAGAGAGAGGGTGAGGTGAACCGTGAGGTGTTCGTGTCGCCGTGGCGCGACTCTCGGCGTTTCCTCGTTCGGTTTATTTCAGTTTGCGGTTAACGGTTAGCAGTGTCGCGTTCTCGATAAGCCCAGGTAACAAGGTGGACTTTT